AAATCAATAAAAACAAGTAAAAGCTTCCACGTGTAGGACGACCATTTATCTAATATATTCTAAAACTGAAAAATTAGGTTGTTCGGAAAGAAAAAACCATGAGAAAACTGTATTTTTTTTTCGAGTTGGTGATGTGTGTGTAGTCAATGTTTATGGGTAATTTACCCACTAATTAAGTACTTTTTTAAATGTCGTATTTTAGTTGACCAAGAGACTCAATTATTTGTCAAGATGATGTAGCTAATTAGAAAGTTATTTAGTTACGGCACCTGCCACGCCAAATTTGGATTTGACCAAATGACTTAGGAGTTTAGTTGTGCCTAATTCATGTCAGATAACTCAGATCAGATCTAGTCAACTATTTTTGTTTCTTTCCTAAACTGTAGACAAATTTGGATTTGGATTTTTGAAACTAAAATTATGGTGCAAGCTCTATTTTCGAAACTAAAATTTGGTTTCAAAAACCTCGCCCTTGAGTTATTATTTTGACATAATGTTAGATGGATCTAGTTTTCAATTAACCAGAGTTAAGTTACTAAGTTAGATTGAACAATTGAACTAGTCATCAATGTTGTTTATCTATGTTATTAATTGCGAGTTAATTAGTATGATAGTTTAAATATAGTTGATTATCAGTTCGAGAAGGGGCTAGTCATATATCCGTGATTTGAGTTATAGAAAAAAAAAAACGATCTTAGTTGCATCTACGAAAATATTCTTGATAATTAAGCCCATAATATCTTGAAAATTAGGTTGCAAGGAAATTCCAATTAAGGTACGTTTCCTGTTTTGAAAACGTTTTGGAAACGAAAAAATGATGAAAATGTTTTAAAATTCTTAATTTGGATATGCACAGAAACGTCATTCTCATTTTTTATTTGGAAACAAATTATGTAAATATTTTAAAAAATTAAGGATCTATTTGTTATTATTAATAAATTTTAAAACCTAATTATAAAACACTCATATTTTCTTTATTTTCTAAATATTTGACTTTGAGTGTTGTTTGTTATCTTTTAATTAAACTATTTAATATTTATGTATTTGATTTGTGTTGTTTCAATTATTTTTGTTTAATATAGTTTTAGTTTTTGATATTTTATGTTTCATG